AGACAATTTGTATGTCTCTTTTCTGTTCTAAACCTAATTTTCTATTTTTTGCACTGACTATTTGTAACAATTCAATATTTTCACCAATATTTTTTTAATAGAATAATTTAATTTCCACCATATGTTTTTCATTTTATGTAAATTTCATTCCCTTTTTCAAACCATATATAGTAATTAATTGTCCATGCAGACCAATCGGTAATCAATTTAATACAATATAATATAGAAATTTTCAAATAACATAATATCATATAAATCCTTATATATAATACGTGAAGGCGATTTCTTGAAAACACTACTCCTCCGTTAATAATGGACGGATTTTTACAAACGACGTGTCAAAATAAAATATTTTTTGTGTAGACACCCCCTTTCACCAATTCATGTAGTAAAAATCCTCGGGCTTTGCCCCACAGGCCATCAAAGTTGGAGTTTCTTCCATAAGATTAACATGGGGGAATCTAAATATTTGATTGGAAACTTTGTCCCCACTAATTTGAGAGAGCGGTTGGGCGTAGAAACTTGGTAGAGGTGTCCAAAGAAAGGTCTTGGTCTGTAGATGAGTTATGAAAAGAAAAACTAAGCAAAATCCCTTAGGACTCTGCCCCAGAAGCCTTTAAAGATCCCTCCACAGAGTTGTTTACATTTTGGCCATGAGAATAATACTTTTTAATGAAACAGCTGTTCATTTTTAAATTGTATTTCAAACAACACATATTTATTGGGAGTTGAATTCTACCAAATAAGTATTTGCAATGTTATTTTCTGATTTTAAAATTGATTTTCTTCTTTATCATGCCATGTTTTGCAATATAACGTTCCATTACGAAATCAGTGGAAAATATTTTTATCACAGCAATTCTTAAATTATTTCTTATTGAACTATCTTATATCTATTGTACGGGTTGGTGTGTGCCTTTTTCGCCACTTTTACCTACATTTTATCATATTATTCTACAAAATATCAAATATTTATGTAGAAATATCTGCTCTTATTGTGTCTAATAAAATCCAAACTTAGAAACATTGCCTAAAATGGTACCTATCTTGACAAATAATTTGCACCTGCCTATATTACGGACTTTGGCGCACTGAATTAGTAACATTATTGAAAATAACACGACATTTTGGCTGTAAAATATGGTACAAAGAGAAAATACTATTTAAGCAGCTACTGTCATGACAGAAAGGTCATATTCCTTTTAAACTAGATCACATAATCCTTTGACTGGGACGGGTGGCGTCGTCCTGTAATCCAGCTACTAGGAGGTCACGAATTGTGGATATTTATAGGAATGCACTGTGGATGCGATACTCCCTGGTGTGGATTAACGTCCGCACGAGTGAGTACTACGACTACCCGCAGTGCTATCCTGATAATTATACCAATTCATAAATACCAATGGAAAAAAAATTTGGTTCCAATTCAACTATAAACTGTAGATCCCTTGGTTGCCATTCGCTGTATGGGCTATTAATTAACAGCTGTATCTAAGGAATGTCGGCCTTAGTAACTAACAAGACTTCAAGATCGCGCCACTCTTCCTACACTCATCTCCATTCATACTTGGCTTACCTACTATGAATGGTCGCCATAAAAAAAACGTATTAAAGGATTAAAGTATTTATCATATACGTTGATTAACAATATGTAAACGTCAATATATACGTAACAGCCATTTTACAGTATTTTTGCTTTTTGGAAATGTTCAATTGCTATGTCATTTGCATTATTTATTGCCAATGAAGCCGCCAAGACCATATGAACTAGGAGGCCCCTAACAGTTCAAGAATAAAAGCCAACTTTACTTCATGTATTCCACTACACCTAACATTCCGTAGAGAGATTATATTGAAAACTTTATGTTATTGATAAGGCCGAGACGAGACAACTAACTGACATCCCCCATGTCAAGGAATTCCAGCTTTATCAGTAACCCCATACAGTCAATTTCTCAAAACTATGCTAGAGGGTTCATTCATTGGCACAGAAGTACGATATGAACTGACGCGACGTGACGAAGGAAAATCAAACTTACACTGTAACGGATATACCTCCCTTTGAAGTTAGAACGTGTCTTCTCAACAAACATATATTTTTTCTCAAACACTGATGAAATCACGGAAGTGTTTAGCTACAAAAGATCCACCAATACGATTTAAATACTATTTAAAGGTTCTACCAAAGGAAGAGATACCATATAACATACTAATAATAACTCCGATGACGTACAGGATAGGAAATATTTTAATCATTGAATGAACAACCAAATTTGGCAACTAACGCAATATTGTTATTGTTTTTACACTTACTCTTTGAACAATGTTAAATGCTCAAAATATGTATATTTCACCCAATTCATCGCAGTTAGATGAATTAACGTAAGCCTTGAAAGTAACCGTCGATTTCGACGGGTTTCCCCTAGTATATAGGTATAATAGCCTATAACTTTTGTAACAAAATTGCTTCAAATTCTATATAATTTTATTTAAATAACTTTTCAAAATTATAATTTAGCTCTCTAGCAAATGAGATTTGTTATAATATATTTGTGAACAGTGGCCTATAATTTTATATTATTAAGTCGGCATTGACATATGTGAGTGCAACAATACATCAGACCATCTTCACTTCCAATAGAACCAAGATAGTATGAAGATGCAAATTAGACACTACATATTTAATATCAAAATTTTATAAAAAAAAAGTACATTATTCGGACAAAATTAGTGAAATTTGTTGAAAGAAGAACCATCCTTGTGACGAACATTCATAATTTATAACATCAAGAACTTAACTTCAAAGAAGACATCAATTTTGGTGAGATAACTCCAATAGACATTTTCCCCTTTGGAAGCCATTAAAACCTTTTTTAAAACCTTTGGACATTTATACTCAAAGTCAAGAACTAATAGAAGCTTAACTTATTCAGAAATATTATTAATTCAACCAATCTATAATTCGAACATACTTTAATTATATTTTAAAACAAAATTTAATTAAACTTATATCACAAGATTAATTTCAAATGCCGCTCGATCACCCCACCTGAGAAAGATCCTAGCAGTAGCCTAAATTATAACATTGAACTTAAATAATTAAAACCATTGTAATAGGCCTAGCCTAAAGTTTTTTAAAGTAAATTCATCTCCCACTGTTTGTACAATTTATTGTGAACCCCCTTTCTTTTCTTTCACTATCAGTTTTGTATTATAATTAATAAATTTAAGTTTCGAAATTGTACATGGAGTTTCCATTGTAGTCTTAAGTTTAAGGTTGATTACATATTGTAAAATTAATTTGATGTTTTTATGAATCTTGACACCTTTGCCACTCCATTCATAACTTTTTTGAAACTTAAGCACTCTTTGTGTTTTTTTTTTCAAAAGACTGGTGCTCATTCAATTGCATTGTGTAACTTAGGCCTGAAATATATTAATACTATATTACATATATTAATACATAAATTAATACTGTAGCTTTTAATTGCTTCTGCTTTACCTGCTTTAATTCTTGTAACTTACAAATTGGCAATAACTTCCCGTCAAGGTAAATGAAATATTGGGATAAGATAGCCTAATGGTGCCCTCAAATTTACCTGACATACATAAAATGTAATAAGTTATGCAACTGTTATTTTTAGATTCTAGAAAACATACTTAACTTATGTACAGGTATAACTTGAACCCAAGGTGTAGGCTACATGAATGTTGGCTCATCTAGGCCTATATTTTGAGTTACTCTGTGATTTGTGCCTATAGCCTATAGGTAGGGTTACCATACACAACAGACTAAGTGACAAAATCGTGGAACGCCACTCCACAGGTTATACGTAACTTACCGTAGGCCTACTGTAACACTAGTCAGACTCAGATTCAAGAACAAGTAACTTAGGCCTACTTACTTACTACGATTAGACGACTAGACTGCTGGCGCTCTCTGCTTTGAGGTCACACCTCAGGGCCACAGTGTCTGCGATCACGAAAAGTGGGTACGTTATTACGTTTATCGCATAAATCAGAAAGATTGGAGAAATCAAATCAACGCAGGAGGTAGATCTTGATTTAAATTAGCAATGATTATGTAGCAGACAATGCTTTGTGAACAATGTGAAAAATAATATCGAGTCATTACAAGGAAAAGTGTATACCTATCTTATCAACAATTAGCCTAGTTTAGCCTAAACAAATATTAATGCTTAGGCTACTTTAATTGGACAGCTAAGTAGTGCATTTTATCAAGATATGTTAGGCCTAATTACAAGTTTTATGTATCGAAATAGGTTAAAACCTGTTTGGCCGATATCCGGAACCGGATCTAGGTATATAACTATGGTAACCCAACCTATAGCCTAGACTAAAAAGTCTAGTAACTTAGGCCCTAGTATTGGTGGAACCTATGTAGAATCTAGTTGAAGTTTATGTTTAAAAGGTCAGGAATCATGTGAATTTGGGTACTTTGTACGTAAATAAGTTAAATCGTCCATATTAGTGGCAAAATTTAAAGTAAGTTAGGCCTGAGTAATAATCTTTGGGATTTATTGAGCAATAACGTAGATCTAACTCTTAAAATGGCTGCACTTTACTTTAGGTCCTATACAAACAACCGAATGAAAATATCGATTATTCTATTGTTTCATTCGATATATCGTTTGGTTAGTTAGGTTAGGTCAAACTTACCTAACTAACCAAACGATAAATCGAACAATCGATATATCGATCGATATTTTCATTCGAATGAGTGTAGGACCTAAAGTAAAGTGCAGCCCTTAAAACAACACTAGTGAATGAAAAGTTCAATAGTGTACAAACTTGTCACATAAATTAACTGTCAAATTCCTCAAACTACGCCCCAAATTTAATTTTTCTAGAAACAAAGCTTGAAATAATAGGGAAACTTACATTTTGAAGATGAGTACGCCTAAACAACACACAAAAACTTAGGTAGCCTACTTATTAGTCATTATTATAGGAACAAGTAACAAATTAAATGCACTTACTTTAGTAACAAGTCGAGTAAATCCCAAAAAATTTAAGTTATTTTAGCACATACACATCATGATATTAGGTCAATTAATTACCACTATTACCAGGCACATTAACAATTAAAATCACAACACTGAAACTGACACTTCGAAAACACTGCCTTCTTTCCAGCGATTGTGTGTGAGGCACACAGGCAGGCAGACCAACTTCAACTCAACTACAAAAATACACTAGCGCTCAGCAGAGCAGAGGAGCAAATAAAATAATCCTCATCGATTATTCTTATGTGATTGTCTTTGACTTTAACAAACCCATCCAAATTTTAAAACATACTACCATAGACTATATGTTTTATCTATGATACTACTTTATACACTATATACCACATGGCCATATCATACTTTAAATTGTATTGTAATAACTTACTAAAGTAACAAAATCATTGGATTATAAAAATTGTATAATGCAATGGTTTTTGGAGTAGAAACTACACCATATTTATTTTCATTATTCAAGAAAGATCTAACTAAAATGTCTGTATTGACTAATTAACTTAATCAATGGCATTACTATATTTAGGTCTACTATAATTTGGGGTATGATAAAGGTTGAGTATTATGGTATTATCATTGACTATATATACCTACAGGTAGATATATATAGTCAATGGTATTATATAATTTTTTATTCTCTCATTCGTCATATGCCATGTTCATAAGTTGTATTGTTGTATATATTGTAAGAGGGGCGGACCGAACCATGATGTGCAATGTGCATGCCCCACTTACAACTAACTTAACTACTGTAGGTTAGGTAGGTCTCTAAGTCCTTGACCACTGACCATGTGCGGGAGCTTTTTCCCAATGTGAACTCTGGTTCCTTGCTGGTTCTGACCGAACACTAAACAGTAAACACAGGGCCCTTCTCCTAGCCCCAAGTCTATTGCAATCCAGAGAATAATGTGCTTTGCAGTCTCATCGGACTGGTTGCAAAGTCCACGCTCTTGATTGTCATTGATGATTGCATGATTCATATTCCTAGAGTGTGAAGCAGTGAAGGTGTTTCCTAAAATGGCCGTGTCCCGTGATGAGAGTTATTACCTGCTTGACCTGCCCTCTGCCCAGTTTTAGCACCATCAGCCTGCAGCCAGCTAGTAAATAGGGTGCTAGGTTGTGGTTCATGTATGTGTCAAAGGTGCTAGGTTCTAAGTGGAGCTTCTTATTAGCCAAGTAATATTTCAGAATAATCACACCAAAGCTAAAGGTGTTGTTCCCTGCACCATTTCTTCATTGCATGATTAGAGGTTGCTTTGCTGATACAATATCACAGAATGGCTCTGGTACAAGGAATGGTAGTACTCTCGCTGCTACCTATGCTTACATGACCAGGACCCAGCCGAGAGTTACAGAGTTGCGTGTGGAAAGTTTGCAGATGGTGTTGAAGCACTTCCAAAGTGACTTTACATTTGAGGCAAGAGCCATCTGACAGCTAGACTAAATTACTTTCTTTTGTCTTGGTAGTGTCTGGCTAGTCCTATTGGCACAAGCTAAGATGTCACAGATTTCTTTCTACCTACAAAAATAGCAGAGTGAAAATTTAAAAACGTACGTTTTCATGTCCCTGGCCTTTTACTTCGTAGATACTGGATTTGTAGTTTATTATTATGTGTTTTAATATTTTTTGGGACGGGGGCAACATGTTACACACATTTATTTGGTTTAAAATAGGTTCTAGGTATTTTTTTTTTGTATTTTTAAAGTCTCGAAATTCACGACCATGACGTGTCCCTAGGGTACATTTTCCAACTTTCACGCTGTTTTTAGACTAATTATTCATGCCGAAATATATAAAGCCATATTTTTATGTCATCAATGGTTATTAAACTTACAAAAAAGGAGCATATTTTAATTTTATTGTCATTGCAAACTGACTTCCATGACAAAATAAGTCTGTCCCTCGATTTGGCGTCACGACCATTTGGGAAAAAATTTCAACTTTGGAGCACGACAGTGACATGCCTGGCGTCGATGGAGTCAGTTGGTTTTAGAGACTAGTTCGGGGTGTACGTCAGGATTGTAGTGCCGGTCGTTTCGAGTTGAAAGGAGGAATTACAAGATTAATAAAGGAAAGATTGTGTTTTTTGTAATTTTGGTGTGTCCATGACCGTGCGTAGTCATTCGATGAAGTAGACATGGTGTTAATTTTTGTTTATAAGATATTCAATAAAATTCAATAAAATTCAGATATTTCAATTGCTAGATTAACCTAGGAGTCCACTTTGTATCATCGAACATGAGGTGCAGGGCTACCGCCAGAACAGAGCCAAATAACACGTAATTTCACGACCAAAGTTTCACGACCATCGCGGGTTTTTTCACGACCAATCCAGCCTTATAAATTATAGTGTGTTTGGTCGTGACAATAACTTTAATATAATTGTAAATTGAACAGTTTAGTTCAATTGAAACACATAGTTTTATTATAACTACCTAACAGTATAATTGAAGGATTGTTTAGAAAGATTTAGATTATTCCAGACAATTCACGACCGTACCGCTTGGTCCCTGACCATCACGTTTATGATTTCTATCATAAAAATTTCAAAAATTAAAATATCGTAATATTTCAATGTTTTATACACAAAAGAAGTACGCCTCTATACAAACATAACGATTTTTCGGGTCTCAGGTAAGTTTTTTCGGAGTTATACAAACTTAAAAAAATTTTATTGGCTTTTTTCAATTTTTTGAGTTTTTTTATTTTTTTCTGGAAAGACCAAATACACCAAAAGCTCAGTGACCTTTTTATTGTATAATGGTCATAAAAGTGCGAATTAGTTTATAGCAAAACATAGTTATAAAAATAATATTAATTATTTTTAATATTCATTTAAACGTCCGTTATGGTCGTGACAGGATTTTGTGTTTTTCCACTAAAGATGCTCTTTAAAAAAAACCTACCAAAGATATTGCGTTACCATGGACATTTTATGAAACTTCAAATGTTAATGAAATAAAAAAAAATAATAAAAGTTTTGAAAAAATGGGGAAAAAATTTGCAAAGTGCTTTTCCTGAAAACGTACGTTTTTAAATTTTCACTCAGCGCAGTGCACAGTATTGTCAAAGACTGGCAAAAAGTTCTATTCTGTGCGATTAACTGTATACTACAAAGCCTGGTTTTCCATCGATGAGGGAGCCGTATGTGTACCAAAGGTCTCTGTAGTTCTGAGATAACCTTCCTTATGTTTCCATCCATCCCTGATGAGGAATTCAAGAGAGAAGGGATTGTTCATCAACTCTCTGTGTAATCAGGACGTCTGAGCTGAGGTCATGTCAGGCACATGACACGCAGCCACAGTTTTGGCAATGGCACAGTGGTGCCCCATATAGGCCTTCCAACCACAGAATTATAAATTTCAAACGGTAAGCTGCATTGAGGGCTTCAGCATTAATGAAGATGTCCAGGGGTAGAAGCCCAAGAGTAACTTCTAGAGTTGCTGATGGACTGCTCCTGAAGGCATCAGTCACTTGAAGCTTTCCAAGCCTTTGCAGACTTTCTAATTTGGCTATGACAGTTACCTGATTCACTTTTGTCCACTAGACGAGCGAACAAAATAGGTAAATTTAGGCCTCACTACAGACTCATAAAGGTAGCCAGAGTGCTGTGTGGGGTTTAATTGTGCAAGTGAAGTGGCTCCTGAAAATCTCCTGGACATCATGAGCCCCCATTTGGCCTTATGCAGTGCGTTATTCAGGTGGATTATTCCACGTCAGCTTGGAGTCAAGTGTCAGTCCAAATTCTTCTGAATTTTAAGTTTTTTTCTGGAATACCTGATAAATAAATAATATATTTACTAAGAAAAATTTAACACAATCGGGATGAGGAAAACCATCATTTAAACACATTTTCATAAGTTTAATTTAATTTGTAATACGAGATTTGTATACAATGATAAGCATATATTGCCAAGGAAACTTATTTGTTTCTAAAAAAGATCCTAAACTATTATAAATTTGCTTGTCTAGAAGTGAAATATATTAATTTATATAATACTCAAGATAAACCAAGAAATAATAGGTTTACTTCACTATTAATTACTAAAATATTAATAAACAGTAGGCCTACCTACTCTAGCATAAAGTATCCTCATTTTAGAACAGAACAAGTTAAAAGTAATACTCGATGTACGGTATACAGAAAGAAAATGACAAATAATTACAAGAGCCAAACCACTTGTCTTAAATGTACAAAATAATAAACTAGTAAACTGGTATAACTAACGCTGATCGTTCCAAACTAAGTATCAAAACGACGTATTTTCAAACAATAAAAATAAATTTTCATGTTTATTACAGCTTGATTTTAAACCAAACTTTTTAGTTTTAATTAAATTGCCTGATGTATATATATATTAGAATAGTATTATTTGAAGCACAGCTGGATTACTGGTTGTAGACTCTAGGATAAGAGAGTTTATTGTATAATAAATGCAGAAATAAAATGATTCTGAATACAAATACTAAGAACTTTTTAAAGAGCTCAGCTTAAAACTAAATAAACAACGAAATCTTATGTATTAAAAAATTTAGTTTTTCTTTTCCGAGTGGGGGGTAAACTTCGATATGGTGGACTGTATAAAAAATGAGGGATGTGAGATATATTATGTTAAGATCAGCTTTAGAGACACACTGTGAGCACAAAATAATAAACTTTTAAATAGGAAGAAATGTGATTTGGTACCTTCCTTTTTACTGAAGTGATGTCTAGTAGACCGTTGACGCACTTGATGTTTGCTGGCCAGCTTTCGCGTACGCGACCGGTAGTTGCACCAAGAACAGTTTGAATACAGTTTTTAACTATTCAGTTCACTTTTTTGTTAGGTGTGTCACAAATAAATACATAAGATAAACATACGATAATATAAGTTCAATTTATATGCCACAAATAGAGTAGGGGAATATTATAATACAAAACTAGGGAAAATGGCGAGAACATGATGCCGGGTTGAAGAGTACATGAGGAATGGGGGAAATTGCCAGACATCACGTGACAGGGCAAGGGTCAGAACAAAATATGAATGAAGTCTGGATTCACCTGGTTGCGTAGATGCTTGAATACGGAACATGCCGCCCGCCTTGAACCA